ATTATTTTAGAAATTACAGCGTTCCAAAAACAATAATTAGTAATAGAGGTACATGCTTTACCTCTAAAGTGTTTGTTGATTTACTGGAAGGAAAATCAATTAAACAGGTGTTAATAGCCGTAGGTGCGCCACGCGTCAACGGGCAAGTGAAAAGATTTAATCGAGACAATAAAAAGCGTATCCCTTCTTTCAAAGGGCCTTATGTCGTAAAAGAAGTATTAGACCACGATAGATATATTGTAACGGACATCGAAGGCTTTCAATTGATAAATGCCTTATACCGGAACTGTGGAACCCGACCAAATGAAAAATTGGGTCCGACTATTGTCATTAATAAAATTAAAAAAACTGCGTACTTCTACTTGAGACAGCATGTGTTGGGAACCGAATGAAACATATTTAAAGTATTTACGATTATTACGGTTGTTTGGGACGACCAAATTGTCAGAATGACCGATCTGTATTTTACAATGTATAAATTGTTTTTCTACAAACTAATTGTATGTACTCTCAATGTACCTGGCCTCCGCCAGGTTGAGTCATGGACCTTAATCCAAGATTTTGCAAAGTAGAGGGGTGCAGGTAAAACTTTGTAAACCTTCCACCTCCGAAATATCGACAGTACAAAATTAACCTTTTAAGAATATACACTCTTTTTTAAATGATCACGAGCCTCTCCCAATTATTTCACGCCTTATCCATCCTACAATATGAATATTCATTTTTATCTGTAAGTTCTTCAACTTTTCGACAGTTATTATGCAATTTATTGGACATTAAAAAGGTCAGAATTACTTCAATTTAACAAAAGCTGGTAAAACACGAATCTCTTCAAGATAATCGCGGTAAACATAAAAATCGTTTTCTTCGATTATATAATGAAATAAAATACATGATTGCAGAACACTGTTCAACGATTCCTCATGCTAAATCTCATTATCGCGAAAATAATACAAATTTATTGTATTTGATAATCCGGATTTATGTGCGAGTAAATTGTATGCTTTATTTAAAAATTATTATACTGAAAAAACGAATGATCCAAAACCATCCGATTTAAGAATCAACTTATATTAAATACTTTAATCACAATTTAAATTATACGTTTAAGAAACGCAGAACTGATGTTTGCAATTTTTGTTTTGTAAACAGATTCAATACTGAAAATAATTCTGCACTAGAAAATCATTTAAAAATGTAGAAAATATTTTGAAAAAGAAAATGTTATCTGAAAAAAATGTTTTATGTTTAGAATTCGATTTTAGTCAGAATTTAGAGTTGCCTAAAATTCCGTGCTCTAAACAGTTTTATGTCAGACTTCTCTATTACACATTTTTAATGTAACAAAATTATATCTATTTTTTATGGAAAGAAGTTTCAAGAAAGATGGCAACACTGTATGTAATTTTTGTTTTTAATGACATACAAAGTGAATTAAATCTCGACTATTATAATAAAATTGATCTTTTTTGGATGGTTGCAGTGGACAAAATAAAAATTATTTCTTTCTTTCTTTTTTTCATTACTTTCAAAATATTTACAAGTTGAAATCGTACACCCAGTAAACGAAAACTAATTGAAATGAATTAAAAAGAATTCACAAAGAGCTTTCGTGAATCCCGCTTTGTGACAAATACGAATTGGAGCCATGATGCAATTTTCCTGAATTCGTGAAACTGTATTGAACTTCCGAACCTTCTATCCGTACCAATTCACTGGACAAGTTTTGAGCCTTTAATTTTTTTCAATTCGTTAGCACGAATTCAATGCATTCCTTGGCCATTTCTTTCGAATGCGAATTCGTTTGGACAAATTGGTACATATTGAATTAAATTCAATTGAATATACAAAGAGCTTGAGTGAATCCCGCTTTGTGACAAATACGAATTGGAGCCTACCAAAAATGTTAATTCGTTTCAATTCATTTGAATTAGTTTTTTTTTACTGGGCATTTATATCCGGCAGTAGGACCCTCATTTTGTACTTGCGATCGTAATTTTGGGTTATATGGAAAGAAGAAGAAAAGTTTAGAGACGATTGAAACTGCTGAAAATTATTATAACCTTGTTAAAAATCTAAAACTTCACAGTTATTGAAGAGAGTGATGTTATTTTACAAAATTTTGAATTGCTTATACCAGAAAAAATTAACATTTCAAAAATGTACACATCAGTGACGCCGTATAAACTTGTTATTATCCAAAGAGATATGTAAATCCTTACAACGACTATCATGGAGAGCCAAGAAATTTTTTACTTGATAGTACATACTTTGACTTTGAATGACTTATTAAATACGCCTTCAGCACCATCTATTGGAATTACTAAAGAGAAAATAAAGGATGTTAAAGCACTTCTTAAATATTTGACTCCAAAAGGACAGAAATTGGTCAATGATCTTTTTGATTCCACTTTTATTAAGAAGAAAAAAATGCATCAAAAACGGAAAACAGAGAAAAAATAACTGAATCGAGAAAGTTAAAGAACTAGTTAAATTCGTCACTGAATACTGTCAGTTTAAAATTTTACATATTGACTGTTAGAAAATTTGAACATAAATTTTATTTCAACGCTTGTGTTGTTCAAAATGATATTTAAAACTGTGATAAAAATTCGACTAAAGTTATGAAGTTTTAAAATTATATTTCATCTCTGTTTGTATTTAATTTAAAGAAATGCATTGTCTTGTTTTTTTAATAACAACCTATTTAAACGGTATAAACATTATGTTCAATTTATAATTGAACATTATAATTATGGTAATTGTTATATTAAATCGATTTTTTTGTCATCAAATGAGATATCTTATTATGTTATCTTAATTATCGTGATTCAAAAAGATTACTAAAATCTATGATAATTGATCATAGATTACGTATCTCGTTATTCTGAAATTACAAAGTATTAGTCGACAAATTATTGTTTTATAGAGAATTAATTAATATTAATTGATTAAATATCGATCTACGATCCTGTGTTGTCATGGTAATAGCCAAAAACGCGGCAAGGAAGCAACAAGTGTGTTTTTGATCACTTTTGGATCGTACGTCGATATTGTAACATCTTTGTGATAAATTTTATTGTCGACTAAATATTTTATTTGTTAAAGAATTATTTTATTTAATGTAATAATAATTATGTGAGTGTGGAATTAGCCAATTCATCGACTGAGAGAGACATCGAAATGTTAGTAGATAATTTGTAAAATATATCTTTTCAGTAGACACTCTTTGGTTATTATTTCACTTGGTTCACGCATTTTACTCTCCTTGAGATTATTCTTGTATGTTTAAGGTAAATTTAACTATATATTTCATTTACTGTCGACCTTCAGTCGACTGGCGCCCGTGGTTTTTATAAATTTTTATTATTATACCCTGAACCCACACAGCATTGAACCCTGCCGCGTGTGGTGTGGAGTTTTTAATTTTACAAATTTAATTTATTATTTTAATATAATTAAAACTCCTGTTTCAAATCATATTTATTTACAAAATCCGTCACTCACGACGTTTTACGTTAATTTAAAAAAATTATTGTAAAAACAAATATAATTTAATTATTAAATAACTGTTTGATTAATAAATTGTTATTGTTTTCATTGAAATTTTGTAATTAAGAAGAAAAAACAGAAGCTGTATATACATCTGTGAGTATATATAGGATTGACGTGGCAATGTATAACGCGCAGCGCATTTTTTTAGTTTATTCATGTTTTCGTTAGTTTTTAACGAATCTTTTTTAAATTTTCCAAAAAACTTCCTTGAATGCTAACAAACAAATGTCTAACTGGAAGTTTTCTGAATTATAAAGTTTCCCGCAGACTTTTTATCGACAAAGGTAAGAATATAAAATTTCTGACCTCTCTTAATTAACAAAGCAAAAAACAATTAATGATTTTTTTATTTGTCGTTACCTTTTCTTGACCCAAATGCATGTGTATACCAAATTTCATTTGAATTCAATAATAATTACCAAAGATATGATGATTTATGTTATAAAATTTAATTAATTTTATAAATTAAAAATTTTTACTTTTTGGTCATTATCTTCCAAAGTGTTTGTTCTACAAAAAGATGTTAAATGAATAAAAGATGTGCCATTCAATTTCCTACAAAATTAAAAAAATTTTTTAAATTAAAATTTGGAATATCAATTTTAGGCCATTTTGGTATGTTTTACTAGCTTGTAAGCGTACAGTCGATCAACATATAAATAATTCTTTTTTTACAGAATAAAATTCACTTTATTCTTGCGATCGTCTTTTATAGGTGAAAAAGTTTGAAATAGGAGTCATCCAAAAGTTACGTTACCAATTTTTCACCCATTTAGATCTCCTCCCTCCTTTCAGTAACAACCATAAATTTTCATTCCCTTTCCTATGAAAGTAATGCAGGCTATTGTTGAAAGTTTAATTTAATATAGCTAAGTATTTTAATGTTTCCAAAGAATCTTTATTTTTGTAATGTACTATTGAGTTAGAATATCTTTTAATTATTAAAAAATCTGTATAAAATATTAAGAAGTTTATAATTAGAAATGCAAATTTTTTTAACAACTTTTTAAAAACGCCAGTAATAATAACGTAGCTAATGGACGACCCCTAGAATGCCCCATATAGTAAATTATATGGGAAAGCAAAATATTTATAACATGATTAAAATTATTACATGTTTTAATTATTATTTACGATTGGAATAGAAAATGATAAATCCATCATTTAAAAAAATCAAAATTTTCCTTAAGATTTAAATTATTTCTTTAAACTTGGACTACAGTGCCTTTGTATAGGAAAGTGAATGTCTATATTGATAATAAAAATTGCTATTATGCAGTATAAATTGCACAGATTTATGAAAATTCTATTCTAATTAAATTTTTAACTAAGCAAATAAATTACTTGGAAGTTAAGTAAGTAGGTAGTTTATGTTAACAAATTTAAAATCACTGTAGACATTCACTTGTTATGAAAAAATAAACTTCAATTTATTTTTAACTCACCAGTGATGACTAAACGTCCTTTGGTTGCAGAAAGTCTTGTTTCTCCAGTCAGTCTATGTTTAGTTCGACATTGATAGGTTTTGTAACCATCTTCTGGTCCAACATCTTTAATATGTAATTCTCCGGATGGAAGAACAAGATATTTTCCATCTATACCCCGAAAACCATCCCAATAATACAAATTATAATTTATTTGAAATTTTTACAACTGGACGTTGCATGCATTTTTTAAGATGCATTCCTTTTCCTTTTAATTTTTCCATGAAAAAAACGAAATATAAAGTATATTAGGAAACACGAACACCTGTTCCACTTGTGAAGATGGAGTTCATTTTTACCCTTGGACAAAAATGATACATTGGACCATGCGTCATTTTTACCCATGGGGAGAAATGGTCCCCATTTTCATACTGTTGAACAAATGAATGGCTTAACTCCTTATCGTCTGCTATATAAATGCACCATTTTCTTGCCTATATACTATTAATATACTGTTTTCTTGAAAATAAAAGTAATTATTTTTTTCCATTTTAATATACTGTAAACCTTAGGAACATTTATTTGTTTTATATTATTTTCGTATTTAATGAAAATATACGTTCATAAATTTTTTTTTAAAAGTAAAAGGAATACATTTATTTTAAGAAAGCAAAATTTTATTTTACTAAATGGGATGTTAATTATTTCTAAAAGTAATGTTTTTTGAATACAATAAGGAATAGAATGTTAAAATTTTACTTCAAGTACTATTTTAGAAAATTAACACCATTTAGTAAAAAAATATTTTTATCACAACATGCACAATACGTTTCATTATTTTCGTAACCATGGAATTCAATTTTGTTTAATTCAAATATAAAAAATTAATTTTAATAAAATTTATAGTTAAGAAATAACTTATGAATAAGAATAACTCTCTAAATTTGAATTAGTAGAAATGTTAACTAATTTAAATTAATGAATGACTTTTTGCATTTGAATTAGTAAATTTTACTAATAAATAGTAATTTCTGCTAATTAATTAGTAAAATTTACTAACAAATAGTAATTTCTGCTAATTAATTAGTAAAATTTACTAATTCAAAAGCAAAAATACAGTCATTAAGTTTAATTATTAAACATTTTTACTAATTCAAATTTAGAGAGAAACTAATAGTTCTTGATTTAAAAATATTTTTATAAAATTGCTTTAGGAAAAAAATTGAAAATTTTACTGAATACATTAACTTTAAAAACAAAGGCTACGAAATTAATAAAACATTAATCAAAAAGACGAGAGATAGAAGGAAGAAATTATTTTTAAAATTTACTTTTTTAGAGATCATAATCTATTTTTAATATTCGTTCATGAAAATTTTTTAAAATAGTTTTTAGTGATTTCGAATATCAAAACAATCTGTTAAATTAACCAAATATTTCCTTTTTTGATAAAGAAGAATTTATAAAAATTTTTTTTACTATTCTAAAAATACCTCTTTTCTCAAGTCTTTTTATCATAATTTACTAAGCATGCAATTATTATACAATGAAGATTGGTAAATTATTTACATAGAGAAAATAAAATTGCCAATCATTATCAGACATTGACTATTTATTTCAATTTAGAAGAGCATCATATCTTTTCTATGTAAATAGGAATAAACGTCTGTTCTGTAGTATGATTACATAAAACTCGTATTTTCATTCTTGCACAAAAAGAATCAATGGTTCAAGTAAAATAGTTTAATTTAAGTGTATAATTTTATTAGATTTACATAGGTATAATTAAAAATAACACTTAAATAATTATTTGTTTTATTAACCTATACTAAAGAACAGCTTTCTTTGTTGGATGAAGGTGAGGAATGGAAAAGTTGATATTCTGGAAAGTCTGGAACAGCGCGAGCAGCGGCAGTTAACGTTTTTATAAGACGAGAATATTTATAAAACTAAGCACATTTATATAAAAATTACGTTCCGCCTCTGAAAATTACGATCTTTATTTTTCAATCTATGCACTTGAAGGAAAACGAACGAACGAAAGAATGAAACAGTAACCGAATAAATGTTTGAGAGTAATGCAGTTTTACATTTTAGACAATCCTACTTATTAGTTGCTAAAAAGATTTATTAAATTTGAGTTTACATAAATGAACTTAATCAATCTATTTCCCCCTTTTTTTACAAGAAAAATATAATATTTTTTAAATTCATTCTTCTTTTTTGTATAGCAAACGTTATTTGCTTTATATATACATATTTTGTATTGATTCATATATACATATGTTGTAATTTTTCCAAAGCAGCATTATTATTTTTATTTATTTAGTGTGATCATTTTTAATTTCCATTATGGATAGGCAGCTGATTGACTAAATTAATTGTTTTTATACTTCAAACACGTCAGTAATTAAATGATATAAAGATTTATTGAGGTTTTCATTAATATCAGAATTGACAAATGTCACGTTTGTCGCTTTTTGTTTGTCAAACAGATAAAAACTTTTAAAATCATTCAAAACTATAACTTGTGGTTGTTACCGACTGCAATTTATTGGTTAAAAAATATCCTTATATAACAAATAACCGTGTAAGGGTGGAATTTGCAACGGTTAATTTTACATAGAAAATATTACATCACTAAACAGCACCTAAAATTGTCTTGGAAAGGGTCATTGATCATGTGACATTCGCTGACTATTAATCATGCGCGAAATCCTTCAAATTCACGAAAGTCATAACTTTCAAGCCATTAAACCAAGAAAAAATACAAGGGACTTGACAAGAAAATTGGACAAACCGATCATAAGAAAGAGACTAATGAACAACTCCCTAATATACAATATACTTTTCCTACACATTACAAATTAGTCAGAGTAAGGTTTGTTTAAATCTGGCGAAAACAACATTAAAAACTACAGACCTTTTTCACAAACTCTATGAAATGAATTTACCATCCAGCCTCTAATTTCTACTCCAAAGTTACCTAACGCATAGTACGAATATTGTACAATATAGCGGAATTTCTTCAACAGAATTTACACCAACATCAGGAGTTCCCCAGGGTTCCGTTTTAGGTTCCTTATTGTTTATCTCATTTATTAATGAATTGATTTTACACTTAACAGTAGATAAACTACTTTACGTAGTCAACTAAAAAATTTTCACTTGTATAAAATCTCGAAATGCCATGTAGTCACTTTTTCAAGAAAAGAGAATCCAGTTTATTTTGATTACTTTGTATACACAACATAAAATCATCCATGATAATAAGCATGAACGAAAATATTTTGTAATTGATCTTGGCCTAAACTTCGGCTCAAAACTTACATTTAAATTTCATATGCAAACTGTCGAACGTGACGCATCGAAAACATTAGGAACCCTTCTAAGGAATTATAAGGGTTTTAAGAATCTGCGAATTATTGATCAACTCTGTAAATCTTTTGTTTTAGCTAAACTTAACTACTTGACAATACTATGGAGTAGTAACGTAGACATCATGTCTTTAGAAAAAATTCAAAAAAGGTTCTTCAAATACTTGTAGGTACTTCCGAAAAACTGGAGCATATCCTTTGCAAGGATCCGACTATTTACAATTATGCACTGAATTTAACTTTCTAACACTAGCTGAGAGACGTTTTCTAGCCCAATCCATTTTTTTATTTAAATTAATTAAAAGAATGATGTTAATTACCATTGCCACATTCTGCAATTGGTTTTCATACACCTATAGCTAACACGTGCCCTTTAATAGTCTCCAACTGTGGGCTTGTTAATAATGCAAATAAAAAAACTGACCAACATTTCTAACAAGAAATTATGCCGAAAACTATTTAAAAAAATTAAAGGAACAGTTATTGTCCCTATTATGCACACAGTATAATTCGATATAGCAAAAATAATACACAAGAATAATCCCTACTTTAAAGAAGATAGATAACACAACCATTAAGAAATTAGAGAAAACTTATACAATCAGCTTAAAAAATTTGAAATATTTTTTGTTGCGAGTTACAAAAAAGGTTACAATTAAAATATTGAAAAGTCCTGAAGATTTGACTAAGATAAAATTTAATTGAGTTCCTGGCGGTTTAGCGATCAAATTCAAAATTGTGGAATAATTAAAAAAAATTACAGAATCGAGCCTTTCAATTATAATTTTGTTTGTTATTTAATTTTATTGTCATCCAAGTTATTGAATCCGTTGAAAATGGACTGAAAAATCTTACGATCGAATCAAACTTCCATTAAATGGAGTTTTATCTAATAATGTTACTAACTGTTCTCAAGAAGAGATCTAGTAACGGATAGAGATGAATTTATTCTATCTACTAAATGTATACGTAATTTTCATCTGGAAGTAAATCAACTCATCAGAATATAATCATTTTTGTTAATTAGTTTTAAGATTTTGTTTTTAAATTAACACTTTCATTCAGAATTTTTTATTGAAATTTAATCTTTAGACTAACTAATTCCAGATTCGTTATCAGCGACCCCAATAACCCCCGAGTAACAAGTTTCAAGTGAATCCGTTAAATTTTTAAAAAATCGTCCGCCATATTGGATCCGCTATTTTGAATGTTTGAAAACTAATAGCAGATTCGAAATCAGCGACCCCAAAAACCCCGAGTAACAAGTTTTAAGTGAATCCGTTTAATTTTTTTTAATCCATTTTGAATTTTAAAAACTTTGCAAATCTGACCCCGGACTCGTATTCAGCGACCCCAAAAACCTTATTTACAATAGCGTTTATAATCTTTTGTCTATTATCCTAATTGCGTGACTGAAAGGGTTAACACATGGATTGAATGATGATTTTGTGTTACCTATTTGAAAAAAAATTCTACGTTCGTCATTTAGTTGAACATGATTTAATATCTTCAACTTTATGGAATAATAAATGATGAATTAATGATAATGTATGATTAAATTTTTTTAAGCTTGCCAATCAAGTTTTCTTAAAACCCAAAACATTTCATGTTATTAGACCATTACTATAATTTTTGAACATCCTAAACGTAATTAATGCTCATCGCCTAAAAATGACATTGATTACATAATTATTTTTTCAGATAAGCAAAAATAATTTATTTCGAATAAACGACATTGTCTATCAAAATAAAAATAAAAATAAAAATAATATTTTTAAAGCAGAAAAAAATTCCCATAAAGAGTCAAAGAAAGGTTGCCATTTGTACACCTAGACGCTTAGAGTATAAATGGTACAAACATGAATATAAACAAATGGAATTAATATAAGCCACGAATATTTTCAATTCCAAAGGGATGAAGATTGCGCTTGCAGATATCTGAAGAATTAAACAAACGATTTTCTCTTACGATCGTATGGAAATAGGATTTAATTTACATGCGATAGTAAAATTGAAAATTTGTCATTTTTATGAAAACTTCAAAGTGTCTGTAAGCTACTTTTTCACACCAATGGGTTAAAAAATATGTTAGTAAATAATAGCCAATTCTAACGAGAAAGAATTATTTTGATTTAAAAATAACACGATTAAACGATTTGTTAAGTACCGTATTCATCTTGGGGATAAATATCTGTGATACCATCCTCTACCCACGAGGCAACCACGACAAATTCAGCAACAAAGCTTGGTATATGACACTTGATAATAGCTGCATTTCCTCGTAAGACATGTTCATCCATCACGTTCACTGCATATTGCTGCCCGACAACTGTAACCAGACAACCGAACCCATTGAAATAGGAATTTTCGCAAGGAGGTACGCAGTACGCATCGATTTTGAGGGGGAATAGAAGTGCTACGATTAAAATAAGACTTCTTTTTTATTTCATTCAAAGTACCATCAATTTCTTTGGTATAATATTTTCCACCATTCGAATCAATCCAGTCGGCAACTTCCACATAGTCTGCTACGAATGAAGGAACTTGACATTTAAATATCGCTGCATTTCCACGAATAGCAAATACATCGTAAACTTGAGCTTCAAAATATTGGGACACAGCTGTAATTAAAAGAAAGTGATCCAGTAACGTCGAAATAAATAATTTAAGGTCCTGTCAAATTAATGTATCAGTGTGCTATTTTAGCATCTAATAAAACTCTGATATGACTTTTTGTCTTCTTTTTGTGGTGACAGTTTTCATTTATAAATAAGTGTACAATATATTTTGTCGTGGAAATATAATTGTTTGTAACTCATCTGAAATCTATACTCAAGAAGTAACAGATCTGCTTCACATTTAGACGGTAAGATTTTTTGAAAAATTTTTTTATGCCATCAAGTAGGGTCATATAAAGTAACTTTTCTTGTAAAATTCTAAGACGCACTAAGCTAAAACAACTTATGGAGATTCGTGAATTTTCACCTTTTTCATGCAAAAATTTACAAAAAATGATTATTAAATTAACTATAATAATCTTCGTATTTCATTGTTTCATTCTGTCTGTCCACACTTTGAAGTTAGTTTTTGTGTATGCTTTTGTTTTTTTTCTTCAAAAAATATTGTTATTTAAAAAGAAATTAGTGTCAGAAATAGAAAAAATTGAAAGTTGAAGTGATTTCATACTTTATAAATTATATTATTTTTAAAATTGTTAGTTTTATTTTTAAAAAGTATGTAAGAATTAAGTTATTATAATAACTACCTGTGTTGAAATGAGAATCTCTAAATTAAATCTGAATGTCTAGACTTCTAGAGAAGTAACCTTTGCTATAAGTACTTGAAAAACGTGAACATTAACGAATCTTCGAATGCGATTTTCTCCGTCGTTTTTGCTTAGTGCGCCTTAGTATTTTAAGAGAAGAGTTCCCTTATATGACCCTACTAGATGGAATTAAAAAATTTGTTTTTTGAAAATCTTACCGTGCCCTCCCCTTGTTAATTAAAAATGAGAAAAATGTGAACTGAAAATAGTGCTGCTTATCGTAAATCATTTATAAAATATTTAAATATTTCCCGGATTAAAAAAACAATTAAGAATTAACTGCTCGCGCAAAATTAATTGAGGAGTTAAATGCAACAGAAAGATAAGCACGAGATTTATTGCTCGACTTTTTTCATCTAATCGCAATTGTAAAATGAAGTATTAGTTATATGTCAATTTAAGCATATTATTTATATGCCTGCATAAAATAATACAACACTTTCTGCAAAATACACAGCACATTTTAAGCAAGTACCCTGATTAAATGTTGTTAAATGTTGAACATAAGTTTCGCCGTCATCTCTAATCCAGGCATCGACAGTAACAAACTCTGCTATATAACTTGGAATACTGCACTTCAATATTGCACTGTTGCCTCTAATTACGTATTCGGTCATTATTTCCGGCTGGTAAACTTGTGTAACAACTGTGACAAATTTAAGTAAAACCGTTTTCAAAATTCGTTCATTAAAAGGAATTTCTCTTAAAAATAAAAGCAATTTGACGTGTCCATACTGCCACTACCCACGCCGCACCATCCATTGAATTATTCAACTTTTTCATATGGACATTAGTATTAGAAACATTATAATCAATTTCATTGAATATAACGGGAAGATTTTTCTAAATCTCTTTTACACGTTCAAAGATCTAGTAATGATTATTATTAATTATATCTAGATTATAATTTTTCGTATTTGATTGTGTCAACTGAACTTAATTTTTAAGAATTAAGTGTGGAATAAAATTTTTATTGCACTTAAGCTTCAAGTACCATAGTTAAATGAAGCTTCATAGCTGGAACCGTCACTTCCTTCCCAGGAAGCAACTGATACAAATTCAGCGACAAAACTAGGAATTGTACATTTTAATATTGCAGCATTACCACGAATCACATATTCGGACACCACCTCAGCTTCATAATACTGTGTGACAACTGTATAACAAAAGTGCACATAGAAATTAGAAAGCGGAACGTAATTAAAAATATACTTCCATACGACAATGTAAATACAATTCTCATTGTCAGATTTTCATTAGCTTAATCGGTATTTTGAATTTTTCAAAAATACTGTTTCGCGTTATTAAAACATAAATTGCCATAACTGATTCGCTTCAGGAAATATTCATCATTGCAAAGAAGAATACAATTACATTTATTCGTATTCTTTTAAAACTACCATTATCATTAACAGGATCAAATGAATTTCCTTGATCATCTTGCCAACCGACAACTTGTACAAATTCTACAACAAAGCTTGGAATACTGCATTTTAGAATGGCTGCGTTGCCACGAATAACATATTCGTTGTTGACTTCTGACTGATAATACTGATGTACCACTGAAAGGGATTTCAAATTATTACCTAATAATTATAAATATTATACGCCATCTTCTATTTTTGTTGACTATTGAAAAGAGATTTCATATTGTTCTCAAACAATTAAGTTTACCTGCATATTACTAATCCTAAAAATGGAGAATTGAAAGCATATTAACTTTTTGCATATTGTTATAAGATATGAAATAAAACTAAAACATTAGCAGCCGATACAGGCGCTCAAAAAGAAAATCACATTTATATCCCCGATTAATTTTCAACATATTAATTAAAATAACTTAATCTATAGAATGAATGTTTTCAGCCTTTTCTATTTAGGAGTTTTTGTAAAACACATGTTTATTTTACTAACCCATTTTACAAACCCAGAATTCTGAATAGTTTTTCTTATATTTGACCAAAATACTTTTACTATGTAATCATTGCTAATTACTTAAAATTTAAATGTTTAAGCACTGAAAATGTATTCAACAAAATAATTTTGACACTTCAATTCTTTTTAGCAGATTTTTCATTGAGTTAAATATTAAAAGTAGAATTTTTCACAAATATTTTATTGAATGTCAGCAATTTTAGAAAATTTCCAGCTTTTATGAAATAGAAGGGACAACATATTCATTTTTTCCTTCTACCCAATTTAAAGTCGCTTTCTAATATTTTGGTAATTCTCAACTTTATTTAGTGTAAATCAGGATGACTATCAAGTACCGCTTCTTCAACACAGATATTAACAAAGTGGCTAAAAGTTTTGAGAATTTCTGGTAAGAAGAATTTAAAGGTCATAAAATTTAGTTGAGACGCTAAAAATTATTGTAAAAGTATTACACTAAAATTCTTAATGTGCTCCAAATTGAGCATAAATATAGTCTGTTGTGCCTTAAATGTTTGAATAACTAATAATACTGCTTCATATCATTATTTAATTATTATCTACATGACAAAAGGATTACTGTTAAAATGATTCTTTCGTTCGTTCATTTTATGATATTCTTATTTTCATTGCTTTAATTATTTTTTAAAAATCTAATAAAAAGACTTTTCTAATTATTCTCGCGTTGATAATTGAATAAAAATTGATTATCTGTTATAATTCAGAAAGCCTAATTTAAAAAAATATGATGCACTACTTAATATTGTACCCATTTCAGTATCTTGTCGTACGAATTCTTCCCCCTGATCTGTGTGCCATGATAGCACTGTTACAAAATCAGCTACGAATGATGGTACAACACATTTGAGTACAGCACTGTTACCTCGAATAGCGTACTCCTTGTTAACATCCGTATCATAAAACTGCATCACAACTAGGGATAAACATTCAAATAAATACTCTTTTTCTTCGACGATTAATTATATTAAGTTTAAGAATATAGCTCATTTTGTAGGCTCATGAATAATCCTTAAGAGGATCTTAAGCAGATCTAAAATGGTTAAAAATCGGGAACGACCGTTTCTTGAAAAATATAAGATCATAATATCTTATATTCTATAAGATTATTATAATATTATTTATTACCTATAAATTTGGTAAACTCATTTTTCATCATAAATACATAGGATGAAGATTTTATTTGTTCTTCTTCTTCTTCGACTAGTCAGGCCAATTCACTTGTAATTATTTATCATTTTAATTTGATTTTTGTAATTCTTTTTGGTAACAATTGTGAATACTATTTTCTTCTTATTATATGATTTTGACGACCAATAGATTGGTGCATTATTGGTAAAATGAACCAGGGATGGATAGTATAGGTAAGTATAGTTCTAAATTGTCAGAGGTAGGGTTCCATAGATATGCTTTTCTAGCTTTTTGTTTTTCTATTAACGATTCGGAACCACCATGATTAACACTTAAGGGACCACCATGATGGTTTTACTAGAGAGTTAGGGCCCGTTTTATTAGGGACATATGCTCCCGATTTAATTAAGTTGTCATTTATAATTGAGATCAGTCTTTCATATTTGCCAAGGACGTCACTTGATCAAGCTCGAGCATATCTTCCGAAATCAAGATATGGAATCTCAACCAAATTTCGAGTATATATATAATAATTCTCTCGAAGCTCCTTTCCTAGTAATGATGGAATTCATCAACATACAAAGGAATCTAGGTAGGTTGTATCCAGTAGCTATAGGCAAATTGGTAGGCAGATTCATTAATGGTAACAGGAAAGTATATGTTAGTGGAATTAACCAAATAAAAATTTTCTGAGAGACACTCAGTGATGCTAACTTTCTTCTTTAGTCAGAGGACATTGAAAAAGCCGAGTACAGGACATATATTCCTGAATCATTTATCCTACGTAAATGTACGATAAAAGTACAGGAGAACCTCCCCTCTCCTTCCGAAGAATTATCCTCTCAAATTCATTTTTATTGAGAAATTACAAATGGAAAGATAACCCACTTATCCCAAAACTATAATTACTAAAAGAGAAACTAACACCGCAAACTCAAAAATTACGAAACAAGATACACATTACTAAATTCATACAACAGAATAGTTCCTCTAGCTCTATATCGATACAGTGCCTTCTGGACATCGTACTTCCACTGGGAATGGAAAGCGATTTCCTCCCCGGTGGAGTGCGATCTCCTGACAGACTATATGAATTTAAAAATCGTTCTCACTCTGAAAGACTGTTCAGAGAGCATATTCAAATGAAATATGTGAACTACACTATTATTTACACGGACGCTTCATACAATAGAAAACTTTCTAAGGCTTCAGCGGCAATCTTTGTTGAGGGACGAGACTACCACACTGGAACCCTCCTCCAGTTTGGTACTTTTGTTATCACGGCAGAAATGTATGCCATTTTTAGATCGATATTGTACGCTGAGAATCACTCATTGATAAGGGTCCTGATTGTTTCTGATTCGCTCTCGGCCTTGAATTGTGTTTTTATTGTTGATCTTATTATGTGTATTTTTTAATAAAATTAAGTTTCACAAATAGAAAAATTATTTTATTTTGTTGTTTTCAAGAAAAGGTCGTTGCAGTTTAGGCTGTTGGGAACTGCTCATATTTAATTTTCTAACAATATATTTTTTTAATAATTACAACAAATAAAATATTCATTCTATGTACTTATGATAAAAAATGAGTTCTCCAAATTTATAAGTTATAATATTTTATATTTTCCAAGAAACAGTCGTCGCAGATTTCTAACCATTTTAGATCTGCATTGTCGATAAGTGGGATCCCCTTAATTGTCATTTAACCGAATTCATATACATTAAGAGGAATTTCACTCAAAAGATGTCCTGTTCCTAAGCTTCAATTGGACATATACTGAACTAAAAACTTTCGATACAAGATAAACTGTTATTCGGTGTCTTGTGAAGTGTCATATTCTTTATTTTCACGTTTAAAATATCTGTCGGATTGGGACAATACATTTTCTGAATTCAGAAATCAGTCCAATTAAAAAATGTCGCTTTATCGAATTCAAGAAACGACGTTCCAATTCGAAACCTAGACCACCTAATTTATTTTTTACAGGGATTTAAACAAATTGACAGTCGCCCAGACAATTGTCACTTAAATTTAAAATGAAGATTGGAATGCTGTATAAAAGATCTATCAAGAAACAATTCTGTAAAGCGATATAAATTTTTAATATCAAGGTAACGAATCTAATATATTTTAGAAAAATTATTGCAAATACAATAAAATATTATAGGCATTAATGAATAAAATTTTTAAAACACCATTTTATTGATTAAATAAAGTGTTGATACCCTTATCTTGTATTTAATGCCCCGTTCTGGTTGTTGATGCAATAAGAAAATTTGCAGAAAGATTAAAAATTTACTGTACAATTCAGTCGTCTTTTAAAAAAAGTCTTCATTTTTTGCCAAAATTAATATCTGACTCTTGACTATTATAGAGCTCGGAAATATTATTAAAGTAACGGGTCTTAAATTAAAATTGGTATATTTATATACTTGAAAATTAATTGAAACCACTAAAAATATAACTTTCTTAATTGTTTAATAACTCGTACAAAAGTTAATAAATTCTTTTGATATTCTCCAAAAATATACAGCTCTTTGAATCGTTAAAAAATTTACCAAAGATGGATACGATCGGACAAATATTTTATAAAAAATTGCATTTGTTAACTAAAAGCATGGTTTTTTAAAATGGAATTTCTTTATTTTTGACGGATGAAAATAATATTTTTTGTCTTGTTCTCTTCATGAAATGCTAATCTATCAATCACAATTTGTGGCTAACTGAAGTTTTGCAAAAAAAACTGTTTTTTGGAGAGGCTAATTTTTTCCATATAAACAATTAAACACTGTAGCGATAATTTTTACTTTAACAATTTGAGATAAACGCCATTCAAATAGATTTGACCTAGCATTAAAGGGGTGGGAGAAAATTTTACAATTTTGAAAAAATCCTAGATATTAGTTTATTCGAGTTTATCAATATTTTTAGTTGCTTCTTCGATAATTTGTTAGTTATATTATTCTTTAAAAAATTTGCAAACTTTTCAACAAACGATTTGATAAGGAAAAATCGAGTAAAAGTAGAGTTTGATATTAAACTGGCTCGCGACGGTGCTATAACTTTGGAATAAATTATCGAATTTTAATCATCCTTTTTTTAAATTGGGCTAACTTTTTCTCAGGATTTAAAATCTTTTATCACTTCTTTAAAAAACTTATAAACAATACGAGAGAATTAATATTTATTATTTTTTAATTTTTATATTTGCAAAATAAATTGTTATTAATTTAATAAATTGTTCTTCCTACATTACTAATTGAAAAAACTATTGTTATAAATCAAATTCATAAAAAATAGTTTTATTTTTAAAAAAATTTGTTAACTTTTGTACGAGTTATTAAACAATTAAGGAAGTGACATTTTTAGTGGCAATTAATTTTCAAGTAAACAAATATACCAATTTTAATTTAAGACCCGCTCTACAATTATTAATCACACACAGTCATGGAAAGAAACACAGGGCGACTGGACTATTAAC